CCTTCAACATTACACAATCTACAATTTCCAAATCAGAGGCTGTTTCCATTGCAGGTCTCCATATGCATAGTCCCCCAGCGATGCTCTGTGATCCTTCACGTTCTGCGTCGATCACATTCATATCAAAGGAGACTCTGTCAGAGGAGTATGCCTGCCCTCTGGGAGTGAACTGACCCTCCGCACACAAGCTAGCAATCAGAAAACCTGGCACAGAGACTCGGAAAGACTCCCTATTTGTCGCTGTGAATATTTGAGCTGTCACCCGAGCTGACCCTATACTGCGGTAGAGCTGCAGAGGTGGCATTATCCATCAGAAAACTCCCAAAGGTGTCCATCACTCCTGCCTCTATCGCTTACGTGATGGGCCTAGCAAGCTTTGTCATCTCTCCATCGCAATACACAATCCCAGCCTCTCCACTCAGGCTCATAGCACAAAAAAATGGACAGTGAGAGAGAAAGAGAGAGAGAGAGAGAGTTTTCTGGCTTTCAGTCGCCGCTCCCTGAAGCACATACCGCAGTAATGTGAATTATATAGTGCTCTTTTACAATTTCTACAGGCTTCGGAAGCCAGAGGCACGAATCCCGGAAGAGAGAAAGTCTGGGTCGAGATACTGGCAATAATGTGTTTTGTGTGCTTGTCCTCTGGGCAGTCTATTGGCTGAGACTGCAGGACAGCCTCTGGTGATAAATCTCTGACACTACCGTACTGTACATCTCACTTGAAGCTCCATCTACGTCACACCATGTCACTCACTGCAGGCATGATGTTGCTTTATATTAGATGTAGTCAATCTTTTGACATAAATACAATTTGGACCTTAATGTCATTGAATGAATGCTTATATTTGTACGTGAAACACAAAAGGAACCAATTTGAAATCATTTTAATGCTGGCAGTAAATACTGACCAGTCTATCATTTTTGAAGGCTCCATTAAAGTGAGATAAAGTGAGTTCCAATTTAATTGAAGCTTTTTATATTTGAAAAAGAGAGGAATTATGTCATTTTATATGTCAAACCATTCATGCAACTATGCATGTGTCAAATCTAAATAATAGATAAAGATATAACTTTTGGTCAAAAGATATTAAACCTGCCGATGCGGTGGCGCAGTAGGTAGCGCTGTCGCCTCACAGCAAGAAGGTCGCTGGTTCGAGCCTTGGCTGGGTCAGTTTGGTATTTCTGTGAGGAGTTTGCATTTTCTCCCCACGTTCACGTGGGTTTCCTCTAGGTGCTCCAGTTTACCCCACAGTCCATCGACATGTGGTTCAGGTAAATTGAGTAAGCTAACAAACAATTTCAGTAGTATATGTATGTTTCCCAGTGATGGGTTGCAGCTGGAGGGGCATCCGGTGCGTAAAACATGTGCTGGATAAGTTGCCAATTCATTCTACTGTGGCAACCCCTTATTAATAAAGGGACTATAAGCCGGAAAAAAAAATTAATGTATAAATGATATCAAACCTGCAGGGTTCTAAAGACCAGTGAAAGTAATGGTTTTGCTAATTGACCTATTCGAAAAATCTAACTGCTTGTCTTACTGATTAAAAACAACTAGAGACGCACTGAAATGAAAATTCTCGGCTGACAGCAAAACCTGAAAATGTGGATGAACTTGTAAACCATTGACCCTAGTAGCGGAGACAAAATCGTAATAACTAATTACTGTAAAATGCTGCGACAGTGAGTTTTTTTGCAAACAATAATCTAGGAAAAATGTTCTTAACGTAAATAAAAAGACAACTCAAGTCTTTTTTTTCCCATATCAGGTTAAATGTTCCTAGTATATTTTTCTAGTTGGTCAATTTGCAAAACAATTACTTTCGCTTGGACTTGGATTTCAATGTGGATGAACTTGTACAAAAAACAAAATATTTAAGAATATATATTTTTTATTTTTATGAAATAGTATAAAATAATTGTAATTTTTAAACTCAATTTCCTCAATTAAACTGATTAAACTAAACAAACCAATACAATAACCACATTTTACTAACATTAAAGAAGGTGTCATTTTATCAGTGTTGCCATGACAGAAAGGAATACGTATACCATAGAAATGTCATGTTGCCATGCTATTTGAGCAAACTTTGCTCATACATACACTGTCCATAGAAAAAAAAAATGAAATCCTTTGAACTTATATTATGTTAAAATTACTTAAAACACCTTGCTTAACTTATAAAATTAATTCAGAACATTAATAACTTAAGACATGCTGTCAGGACTAACTGATCATATATTTTTTTTACAGTGTAGATATTGTACATGAACAGAATATCCAGAGATCGCAATACTGACCTTTTTTAATACTTCGACTGTGGTGCGGTAAAAGTTTTAGACTCTTTTGGACTTTTGTTCTTTTGGACAAAAACCCAACACGCCATTTTGGGCCAATATTTTTCCTAAATATTGAAAATTCTGTACAGTATATCCCTAAAAATGACACTTCAAAAACAAATGTAGCAATGTTACGAAGTTGTAGTAAATGTAGTAAGGAAAACAAAAAGGATGAACTATGAACCAAAGCTTAACATACCAAAGCCATTACTGCTAACTGATTACAAAACAACATTTAAAATACAAACACTAGTAATAAAAGACATGCAAAATATATGCAAGAAACTAATGTCACTGATATGTAACCTGCAGGTTTAATGTATTTAAAAAAATTTAAATTAAAGTAAGCTACCATATCTGAAGTGATGTAAGGAAATTTTACAGTATTTCAACTTTTCGGACAAGAGTTTACTACAAATTGTCAAGGCACAGAAAAGATCAGTAAGAAGATACTTTTGTGTTCCACTTGCTGAAAGAATAAAAATCCACTTAAACCAGTCTAGGCTGGACTAGCTGCTCTCCCAGCTCTTCAAAAAAGAGCCAAAACCCCTCTTAAACTAGCCAAGAGACCAGACAGAAAGACAAGGAAACCAGCCAAAGCTTTCTAAGCAGAGATATGGAGAAAACAACAGCACAAAGGCTTAAAAAGACACAAGGATGAATAAAAGATGAGCGCATTTTCATTTTTGGGTGAATTATTGTTTTATGATTCATTATCTACAACACATCTAGCAAGACTTGTTGTTTTTGAAATTAAAACAACAACTTGATAATGATTGTTCATATTTAAAGGTAGAACCGAACGCTTGTTGAAATTTTCAGCTGTTAGTGGGATTTTTTTTCTTCCTCACAAGTAATGGTTAATTTCCTTTGAAAACCAGACAAGTTTTATATAATATGATGTGTGTAGCCATGATATGAAAAGTGTTGATAATTCTGCTGGTAACACAATGTGAGGTAAAATTTGATAAATGATCCTTGAGTCATTGAAGTCACTGGATCATTGTCCCAACAATCACCCCTTTAAATTGACGGAAAATGTATTTCAAAGCAGACAATGGCTCCAATCTTGTATGAACATGACCCTATCACACTACTATTACGAGATACACTGTCATCTCTCTTTTACCCACTATCATGAGTAAGCTTCTGCAGCCAAATGATCCCTGTCAGGGATAATGAGAACAATAGAGAGCCACAACAAGAAAATACTGTCAATAAAATTAGCAACAGCTTCATTATGATGCTATTTGCTTTTCGTTGCATAAACAAACAATATTCGTTCTACAGTTCGACTGACTTAAAATTGCTTTCTGCAAAACAATTCCCCTCAAACAAACAATGAATTAAACACAAACATTATAGCAAACGAGGTCACGCTAATCCTATAACAGTGAAATAAACAGCTTATTTTTGTGCTAAATTTTATAAGGAGTATGACTGGAGGGAAATATACATAACAACAACAATCTTTTTTTGCTAACATGCTAGCTAGTATGAACGTTTAAACAGTGGCTTTAAATCAACAGACCCTCAGGAGCCCAGACAAATTTTAATTTTAAGCCATGACCTAACACACCTGATTCAATTAATTAACTGTTAATTGCTCCATGTAGCATAACTGAGCAAATTTATCCTGTAGGTTTTTTTGGGGGGAGAAAAAGCAATTTTCTAAATTGAGCCTCCAGGACTGAAAGGAAAGAAATATGACTAGTCTAAATGATTTTATAGCAAACTTTGATCCTCATTTTTCTAACAGAATGAAATTCCATCTGAAAAGTACAGCAACAGATATAATGTGAGCCGTCATGGTTCTTTAAAGCACAAGCTATAATCAAATCCAATTTCAAAGCTCTTGGAATTATGCAAAAAATTCCCACATAAAGTTTAACTTCATTTGCACATGAGAGATTCTATAAATGGACTTAAGTTAATATTTAAAAAAGAAGTTCATTAACATATATAAAGTACCATAAAGTATGAAGTATAAAGTATGAACTGTATGAACAACTAATTGTGATAGATTAGTGATTGCCAAACCATACCTGCCAACACTCCCGTTTTTTTCCGGGAGTCTCCCGCATTTTAGACCCATCTCCAGTATTGTTCTGTCTCCCAGAAACCTCTCAGAATTCACACTTTCCAGAAATGTATACGTTGGTACATAATCACAATGAGTCTGTGTTGGTCACAGCAGTGTCATTTATCATAATGAGTAACAAAATATTAACAAATTTAAACATTAAAGAAGCAAATATGCCCATGTCCTTATGCTAATGTCTAAAAAGGGTTCTAAAATGGACGAAAATATGAAAAAGACTTAATTTTTGTCAAACAAAAATGTTCTCTAAAAGGAGAATGCCATGTCTCTGTAACTTATAAAAACTGTTTGAGAAGAGGTCAAAATCATGGTTCATCACTGAAAAATCTAAAAAGAGATGAAGCCTTTTTATGCCACACACAACTTTCTCTAAAACACAGGAAAGAAAACTGCACTCACAAGCCATTTCATGGCGTCTTTAGTTTTCTATTCAAGCTTTTACTACCTTTACTAAAGACTTACGGGTAGATTTGGCAGGAGTGTTGCGATGGCTGAAATGGAAGCAAAGGGAAAAACAAACAGAAATGTGAAAGAAAGAGCAGAGAGATGGAACACTTACTTCTGAAAGGAAGGCCTGATGTCCAGAAGAACAAAACAAGATGGAAAACATGATGAGAATCACACAGACAACAATAAATAAATAAATAAATAAATAAACATTGAACATGAAAACAGATATGAATAAGATGGGAGCCAACACAACTTGCCATTTTGGGGTTTATCTTACAGAGTGGAGAGAAAATCACCTCGCTGACTCACATTTAACCAGAATATACTATGAGAATGGCTTGTTATGTCTCAAAATGGCAAAATTGGGTGACCCAATTAGTTGTGAAATGAGTGCAGACAAGAAAGAGAATGTGGGGACTGTGAAAACAGGAGGATGAAGCAAAGATGAAACATGATGAGAAAAATAAGATACAAAATCATGTCAGACAGTCTCTGACTAGCATCAATGAAGCAATTCACTCCTGCCATGAGCTTTTGTACTCCCGAAAGGAGAATAAACAAGCTGTTTTGTGTTATTTTAGCTTTTTGCCTATTTCTGTAAAATTCCCTAAGCTTCTGGGTATTCAAATGGAGATCAAGCCTATTGCCGGCTGCGCAACTCCCTTTTTTGAAATGTTATTACAAAGTGCTTTTGAGATGGATCAACTGAATTGGATCAATAAATTGGATTAATAAAGCGACAAGGAAAAAGACTACTTCTGCAATTTAAACTTTAGTCACTTAATCCTTGCGAGTGCAATGGGAAATTGAATAATCAAAGCAGAGCTGTGTTTTTGCTCATCCCACATTTCTTGCAAGCTGACTTTTCTAATCTGCTTCTGAGAGGAACATTCTGAGTCAACGGCTCTGTGTGACATGCCGTAATTAAACCAGTAGATTTGTAGGAATTTTGAAAACTACATTCTGAAATCTAAATATGGATGATGTTTCATTAATGTAGAGAGCTCTGCAATCAACCACGGCAAACCAAACTCAGATTTATCCTCACTTCACGTTTGCATAGCCTGTTCACACCTGACTGCAAAAATGAAAACAGGTAGTTTTGGGATAACGTTAAACAAGGTAATGAAAATGACACTGACAAACTATTCAATTTTGAAAATAAAATTGTGGGTCTTAACTGTGAGACATAACAATTGACATAACAATTTCCAGTTATATATAAAAAAAGCTATATTGAAGTTATATTAAGAAAGTCACAACAGTTAGGTTTAATATTACATTTAAGTCACAAAAATGAGATATTAATTTAAAATTCTTAAAATATAATCCTAATTCTAAGATAGTATCATTAACATTTGAGATATAAAGTCAAGGTTATAAAATTGAGTTATGAGAAATTCATAATAGTGAGACTTTAGTTGTGTAAAATAAGTCATCATTATATGAGATTTAAAAAAATTGAGATACACTAACCGGCCACTTTATTAGGTACAGCTGTCCAACTGCTCGTTAACGCAAATTCCTAATCAACCAATCATATGTCAGTAAGTCAATGGATTTAGGCATGTAGACATAGTCAATGTGATCTGCTGCAGTTCAAACTGAGCATCAAAATGAAGAAGAAAGGTTATTTAAGTAACTTTGAATGTGCCATGATTGTTGGTGCCAGACGGGCTGGTCTGTGTATTTCAGAAACTACTGATCTACTGGGAATTTCATACAGAACCATCCCTAGGGTTTACAGAGAATGGCCTGAAAAAGATAAAATATCCGTGAGCGGCAGTTCTGTGGGTGCAAATGCCTTGTTGAGGCCAAAGGTCAGAGGAGAATGGCCAGACTAGTTCCAGCTAATAGAAAGGCAACAGTAACTCAAATAACCACGCATTACAACCGATGTATGCAGAAGAGCATCCCTGAACACACAACGCGACCAACCTTGAGGCGAATGGGTTAAAGCAGGAGAAAAATAGACTGGATGCAACTCCTGTCAGCTAACAACAGGAAATTGAGGCTACAATTGGCTCTGGCTCACCGAAATTGGACAATGATGAGTCTCAAATTCTGCTGTGACATTCAGATGGTAGGGTCAGAATTTTGCATCAACAACAAGAAAGCATGGATCCATCCAGCAATGAATCATCGGTTCTGGCTGGTGGTGGTGGTGTAATGGTGTAGGGTATAATTTCTTGTCACACTTTAGGCTCTTCTCAGCATCGTGTCACAGCCCATATGAGTATTGTTGCTGACCTTGTCCATCTTCTGACGGCTACCATGTCATAAAGCGCAAATCATCTCAGACAGGTTTCTTAAACACGACAATGAGTTCACTGTACTCAAATGGCCTCCACAGTCACCAGATCTTAATCCAATAGAGCACATTTGGGATGTGGTGGAACAGGAGATACGCATCATGGATGTGCAGCTGACAAATTTGCAGCAACTTCGTGATGCTATCATGTCAATATGGACCAAAATCTTTGAGGAATATTTCCAGTATCTTTTTGAATCTATGCCATAAAGGATTAAGGCAGTTCTGAAGGCAAAAGGGGGTCCAACCCGATAGTAGTAAGGTGTACCTAATAAAGTGGCCGGTGAATGTATAGTCACAGTTATGATATCTAAAAGCAGAACTACAGAGGCAGTCATTTAAAATTAAAAAAATTTGTAATTTAATAACATAACATATAACAATATCACCCTAACATTATAGTACCCTGACACTGCATACTTCATTCTAACATTGTTATTTTATTAAAATGACAACACAAAAAGCAGTATTTCTATACCTTGAATGACTACAATTATGAGCTTTAATCCTAATAATGGTATAAATTGCAATTATGATAAATAAATTACCTGTTTTTTTATATATATGTAAGGCAAAAACAGAATATTTAGCACAAAACCAATCCAACTAGTCTTATTCCAACTTCAAAAATACCATCTTGAATAATCAGCAGCTGCGACATATCACAGCATACTGCTACAAAAATGCATAATATCTATGCGAAACATCACAGAGATTACATCTTATTATTGCTATTACAATTTCCGAAAGCCTAATCCTGATCTGATGGTGGATATGAGGTTAAAGAGGGTTTCATCATCTACTCTACACAAGAGTGCCCAATCAACACGGAAGACACTTAACGGAGCACACGGCTCTCAGTAGACACGACACACAGCTGCTGCCTGGCACATGCTGGCACCGGCTGGACGAAAGGAGCACCACGTTACTGCGTAGCACTGCTGAGGTGAGAGGCTGCAGGGACACAATGTACAGTGGGCCAGGAGTACACAACCCAACGAATTGAAAAGCAAACATAAGTTCATAACCTAATGGAAACTACACAACACAACAGTCTATAAACAAATATATGTTTTATTAGCCAGATATACAACATACATTGTCCTGACCACTCGGGGACAGTTGATTTGTGGAAATGTGCAAATGCTCGTATTTATCTTTGCTAAGACCCTGGATGCTTTACTTTTCCACAGGAAGACACTGTGAAAACTAAATATCAAAATGATTGCCTATATTTGTCCAGTTTTCGCAGACCAACTGTGGAAAAATATTGGTAATTGTAAAATATGTTAATTCTAAATAACTCATAAACATGAAAATATGAACATAATTTTTAGTTATGAAGTTACAGTCATGATTTATAGAGATGGAATTATGAAGAAAGTACCACTTTTGAAGTTTAAAATTACAATTCTGAAAAATTCATGGCTATGAGATATTATGTTGTAATATTTAAATTATAATAGCAATTTTAGCCTATCAGGCTCATAGCCAGGAGGGTTTTGGGTAGTTCGAAAGACTCACTCCCCACTGACAATGTCCAGAATTTGTCCCATTCATGACAATTTTATTCTATTTTGACTGCTATGCTATCATAAATAGTGAAAATAATCAATCAAAAAAGGCTTTAAAACCAAGCAGAATCCTCTGTTGGCTGTCGCTTCAGTGAGACTTCAGGTAATCAATTTTGGCCAATGCAAACTATAATATCTTATGATTCCAACATACACCTGTGCAAAAAACATACAATCTGACGTAAGTGACGTCATTTTCACTACTGTATTGATGTTAAATAGAGAAAACATTTCACAAGTAACATTTATTCTAAATCTTGGATCTTATTTTTAAAACAAAACAAAACATGACCAATAAAAAGTTGTGAAGCAGCAAGAGCAGCCCACATTAAAATTCATTTGAACACAAATTTGGCTATTGTGGTTATCCATGAATTTTCAAATTAACTTTTTTACAAGAAAGGCAAAAAATTATTATTATTATGATGGTGTGGTTATGATGACCATCTGTCAATCTAATTCAACTTAAAATTGTGCATAAAATGTCATTAAACCTCATAATTAATTAGAAAATGAGGCATATAGCTCCAAAAAGGTCCACTTTTTGAGAAAAAGGAACCACCCCTTTTACCAGGCTGGCTGCGGGCCTGTCTATAGTCTTAAATGGGAGATTCAAATTCACAATTATGAATCAGGGTTTCTACAGGTTTCAAGTGAAATTTAAGATTTTTTAAGACCATTATGAAAGAACTTTCTGACTTACACAAGGCTAAACGCTAAGAATCTTTTTCTAATGGCCCAGTTAAAACATTTTAAAAAATCATTAAAATCAAATGTTATTGCAAGGAAGATAATTAAATCATATTGGTAAATACAGTTATTAAACTTTTATTGAGATGAATGGTGGTAGCCTGATAGCATAGCTTTACATGGACATGAAAATTAAGACCTGTTAAAAATTATTTAAGACCTGAAACACAATGTTTCAGAGAATATTTCAGATTCCGTTTTAAAGTTATGTAAAATTAGTGACCATTACTTAAAAAAACCTTTTTTCAATTAATTTGAATTATAGTTAAAACAATTCTTCAAACAAAATACATTTCATAATAATTAACAAAGATATTTACTTAAATACTTACTACACTGTATACACTTAAAACAATGAATGAATTTAGCTGGTTCAAAATGGAGCGAGATGAGGCACACTGTAAGCTTTTTATGATATAGAGATGTAGTTATTTAAAGTTATGAGTTTCAATAATTAGGTACAAAGTTGCTTGATTTCATTGTGTTGTAGTTTAGTTTATTGAGTTTGATTCTGGTGTTTCCATTGTGTTGTGGACTTATGATTGCTCTTCAAATATCATTTTGTTGTGCACAACTGGCCCACTATACAATGGGCTTCAGGACATTGTTTAAAACAAATGGACACACATAAATGACCACACACACATACGCGCATCCACATAAAAATACAAAAGCACACGCAGAGGACAAGCAATGCATCTCGTGGGAGTTGAGATCCAGCAGGGTCCAGGGCAGTGATGCATTGTGGGTAGTGAGGTCTGCTGTTGCACTGAGGAGGAGTGAGGTTGTTGATGGGTAAAGAAAGGGGGTTTGAGAGATTGAAGGACAGAAAGAGAGAGGTACTTACGAACAGGCTGGGTTTTAAAGCTCTCTGGGGCGCTGCTCTCTCCTTCACCCTTGCCGTTGATGGCCGATATCTTGACTTCATATGTGGTCTCTGGCTTCAGCCCCACAATGGTGATCAGGTTGAGACCTGTTTTAGGCAGATTTATAGATTGGTTGATGTATGTTATGTCAAAATATGGATAATTGTGATAAAATATGGATTGTTTTAACAGTATGTACAAAAACATGTTAGATATGACATACATATTTGATTGGTGAGTTTCAATGGACATTTCAGAATAAATAAATAAATAAAAACATTCAAAATTCTTAAAAATAATCCATTTATCCATTGAAAATATGAAATTTAAAAGAAATCAAAGTTGACAGTTGTTATTTTGTGGATATCACTGTGGTTATTATTATTGATATGATAGTCAGACAACATGCCAATCACATGAGATCCACCAAAAGCAAACCATGATGATCTTATTCAATTCCTATGGACAAAACTAAGTCTCATTCTACATTTGAAAAGTTGCTACATTTATATCACAAAGAAGAAACAACAACCACAACTTCTGATTTATGTTTGTATGGAAAATTAAGGGAAACTAATGGGAAAAAACTAATGTATTGAATGAACAAATGCACAAGGGTCCAATGGTGAGTGAGACTTTATGAATTATGGGTTTCCAATTCTGAGAAATGCTGCAGGATTTTGGGGGTAGTTTTATAGGCAAAGATTGTAAGTTAGCCCAGTCATCATTCAGATATTTTCCCAAAAGACCATGCAAAGAGATTTGAGTTTCACTTTTGTAGCAAAACACATTTTAATTTGATTAAAAAACGATCCTTCAATTAAGAGTCATCAGTCAAATGTTTTGCTCACACAGCATCTTATATTTTATTATACAGCAATTTGTTCTCACCGACTACAGAAGTGCTGATGATACTGTATGTCTATTTGATGGTTGCTTTGAGTGTGTTTGGAGTTTGTCTAAGATGTAAACTGATTAATACTAATGCAACAATACAAAAAGTTTGGGGTTAGTAAAATCTATTGATTTGGGAAACTCTGTTTATGCTCACCAAGGCTGCTTAAATTTGATCATAAATTTAGAAACAGGTGCCATCTTCTCAGTCATGTTTGCAGTAATATTATAGAACACAATAGTAATGTTTTAATTTCACCAGAGTTTTGAAAAATTACCCTGATTTTCAATACCAACAAATTTAACCACTTTTTATTTGCAATTCTGACCAATTTTTATGTAATAGTGTTTTATACATTTATACAATGTGAAACCCAACAGTCAACGTTATTAAATGAAATAAGTGTAGTTAACTCAAAATTTACTAAAAGTTAATTCTACTCATTTGAAAAGAGTTTTGAACTCAGCGTTGAAGGTAATGAGTTCATTAAATACCTCATAACTTCAACTTAAATGGAGTAAGTTCACAGAACTCATGTAGATTAGTTTTTTTCTAACTCATTGTTTGTTGCAATTGGTTTCCTCAAACGATTTGAATTGCCTCAACTTATTGGGTTTTACAATACTCAGTTGGTTTGAGTTCTCTTCATTTATCGGGTTTTACTGTGCTCAGATTGCTTCATTTCCTCAAATGGATTAAGTTTAGAGTACTCATTAGGTACTTAACTTTTTGGGTTTTACAGTGTGACAATATTTTACTTAAAATTTTGAAGACATTTTATTCAACATTTATGGAATCATTTTTTTCAATTTTACTCTAAACGCATTCCTAATAAATCCAGTAAGTTTAGGAAAACTTTTTTTATTTTTATGAAGCATTTTAATATACTGAACTACAGCTCAATAAACATTTTTGAGTTGAGCATTTCTTATTATTATTATCATCATCAGTGTTGTGCTGGTAAACTGTCCTTTTAGGAAACTAAATACATATTTTTTTCTGTTTTCACTATTGTTTGACTAGCACAAAATGCACTAGCACCTTAAATTGTTCACAACACTATCAATTTATATACTTTCACTGATGAATTGCATTCAAATGTTAATACTCGATTGAATGAGCGTTATCAGTGATTATCAGCTGATAGATATGGACCAGTAGGGGCCTTCTGCTCTATCATCCATCCACATGGTTAATCAGCTATAGATCACATACAGCTGCGGTCGGAAATTAATGAGAATTATTCATATAGTTTATTGAATTTACCATTAATTGTATTTTATAATTTATTACACCTACACCCAACCATTACAGTAATGTAAAAACAGATCTGGATTTGGAGTCTTTTCTATTAGTATAGCTAATTAACCATGTGGATGGCGGATAACAGACATCTGAGCCTACTAGTAGGTGCAGAAGTCTCCTACTGGCCCATATCTATCACCTGAAAACACCCATTCAAAATCGAGTGTTAAAATTCGAAGAGGGAATTAATTGAATGCATCCTTGCTAAATAAATGTATTTAAAATAAATAAATAAATACTAACTTAAACTCTCTGATGATTTGAACTGCTTCTTTATCCTAACTTGAAAGTGGCTTTGGATAAAAGTGTCTGCTAAATATGTCAAAGGAAATGTTATGTATTTATTTTAAAGTTTTGAAGGGTAGAGCATGTAGATCTCTTTAAATACACACTTGCTTATGTGATATTGCCTTAGTAAAATTCACTTCAATTTAAAGTTTTAAGTTATGTCATATGATATGAAATGTATAATTTTCCACCATATCATCTACCTTACAAATTCACTAAGATTCAAATGTAAAAAAAAAAAAAAAAAAAAAAAAAAATATATATATATATATATAAAAAAAAAAAAAAAAAAAATATATATATATATATATATATATATATATATATATATATATATATATATATATATATATATATATATATATATAATATTCAACATCAATCATACATCAGTGAGCAGAAATGTGCTATTTGTGGTACCGTGGTACCCTCAGTTTGAGGTTGCTGCATGACTATCATATGCCAGTCTAATCCATTAGAGACTGACTGACAAAAGGTTAAGTGATCAAAAAGAATTTGGCTTTGACTTGTGTGTGTATGTGGTTGTGTATGTGTGTGTGTAGGTGGCTGGTAGACTGCATGGTGAAAGGCTGCGTTTGTGTATGTGAGGCTTGTTCTGACGCATGTCCCAAGGAGGTCTGGCAGAGCGAGCGGGCTGTCAGCAGTGAACAAACTGACATCTCCCCCCTCCACCACCCTAAGAGACAGACAGTACCCACAGACAAACACAGCACATGTCAGCCTGTGACAACTGCTCCAAGCTCTCTTATTTAGCATTCAAGTGAACCTGGTCCCTTTCCCACATTTCCGCATGCTATTTTTGGTCAACTCTGCATTGCGTTTCATGCTTGCCGGGCGATATTGCCAATGAAAGGGGTTTTATGGCAGCGGGGAAGGTTATTTTGCCACAATTTGAAATGGCTAGCAGCTGCGGAAAGTGTTTAGTTGTTATATTGACTGCGGGAGGGTGGCTGTTTGTGCGTCATAGACACTGCTGTTTTCTCCTTTAAGTGTAACACAGCATCTTAACTGGGCGTGAAGCGACAAGGTGACAAGCAATAAAAGCTTGTCCATGTTAATTAGAGTTTCTGTCCTAACCAGTCGCAACAGAGACAAGCAACACTACGTTTTCTTTTCAGGTAGACACAACAAATCCTTGCTGAAACAAAAACTGAATCTTATACATGAGCATAAGTCAAAGAGGATGATTGTGGTATTCAGGAAGAATCAGATTGGACATGGCTGATGTACAGAAGCAAAATTAAAGGGGTGGTCCACTACAATATCAAATTTTAAACTTTAGTTGATGTGTAATGTAGCTGTGTGAACATAAACAACATCTCTGAATGTAAAAAGGTCAAAGTTCAATGCAAAGGGAGACCTTGGTTTTTACAGAGTTAGCTTAGCAAAGCCTACAATGAACGCATTTTGGGGACTACCAAAAATACTTCAGGCCCTTGTGAGATCACAAAGTTTTGTTTGCCACACACACACACACACACACACACACACACACACTGCGCAGCTAAGGGCTGTGGCCAGCTGTAATGTGAGAGATAGAGCTAAAATGAGTCCAAACGCTGCTCTTTCCACAGAGCTCCAGACTCCAGAAACAGCTCCAGAATCTCTCCCAGTTCAGTGCTGGATTCGGTTAAAATCTCCTCAAAGCAGAAGCTGTGAACTACAAACTGTAAGTGTTTTATTTGTTAAAATTGATCATACAGTTTCTAGCATTAACGGTATGCTGTAGCAATGATGTAAACAATGGGAAATGCTGTTTTGCCCTGCAAAATATTTAGCTATAATTTCTTATTTATCAGTCAAACTGCTGTAAACACACACTTCACCAGCGCGTGTGTGTCTCTCTATGTGTGTGCGTGACTTTGCATTGATTCTCATTGGGCAGTTTTTCCATGCTTTTTACATCTCAGATAATTAAGTTGCAAAAGATATGTGGATAATTCATATTTACATTCATACACTATGGACAATTTTAGCTTACCCAATTCACCTGTCCCACATGTCTTTGGACTGTGGAGGAAACCGGAGCACCCAGAGGAAACCCACGCAAATGCAGAAAATACCATGCAAACTACACACAGAAACGCCAACACACCCAGCCGAGGCTCGAATCAGCAATCTTTTTTCTGTAAGGCGACAGCACTACCTACTGCACCACTGCGTCGCCCCCAATTGCAAGTTTGTTACTCAAAATTATTACAACGTGACTCCTTACGCATACTTTTGTTTCATTCTTTTTATTTTATTTTGTTTTATAATTGTGGTTTTGTTACTCTAATTGAGACTATGCCTCTTGATGTCATAATCGTGACTTTATTTCATAATGAGTTTTCAATTATGACGATTACTCATAATGTGACTTCATCACACACTATATATATAACAGTTGTAAATGTTACACATACTTGAAACTTTATTCTGCAATGTCACTATATGTCACAATTGTAACTTCACAAATAATTAACATCTCATAATGTGTCGGCGCGGTGGCGCAGTAGGTAGCACTGTCACCTTACAACAAGAAGGTCGCTGGGTCAGTTGGCATTTCTCTGTGGAGTTTGCATGTTCTTCCCGGGTTCGCATGGGTTTCTTCCGAGTATTTCTGAGCTAAATTATCCATAGTGTATGTGTGAGAACGAGAGTGTATGGGTGTTTCCCAGTGATGGGAATGGCATCCACTGCATAAAACATATGCTAGATAAGTTGGTGGTTCATTCCGCTGTGAAGACCTCTGTTTAGTAAAGGGACTAAGCCAAAAATGAATAAGTGAATGAATCTCATAATGTGGCCTTATGTATTCCAACTGACAATAATCGTGACTATTTATTATACTTGTGTCACTTTTTATCCTGTATTATTTTCTTCTAATAATTGTGACTTTATATCTCATTATGTGGCTTTACATCTAACCACTGTGTTTGTTAGTCATGGTTTTCATGTCACAATCCTCACAAAATCTCACAATTCCCACAATATTGTTACTTAAAATGATGGCCTTATATCTTATATCTGTGACTTTTATTATTTAACATAAAAATCTTAAATTAATTACTAAATTTTTACTCACAACTTTGACTATAACTTATAATGTCGATTTATATGTAACAATTTTGTAACATATTTACAATTTTGTTACTTATAATAGTGACTTCACATGGCATAGCTTAGTTACTCACTCTAATAACTTCTTGTTTTGCATAATCCTCATGATTGCAACTTTGTTACTCATAATTATGATGTTATAGATCTCCAAATGGTCTGTGTTTCACATACTTGTGTTATTTCATTTAGTTATTATTATTAGATTATCCATGTGCTTGTCTCACAACTAAGAATTCATATCTCATTACGCATTTCTTATTTATAATGTTCTTATTTTCAATGACAAATGTACTTATCTTATTTTTTTGCTCAGAGGCACAAAAAAGGCATGTTTCTTGAGCAAACCATAAGATGGCCATCTGCAGTACTAAACATCATGAAGAAGTGTACACAAACACCCTCCTCTGACTTGCTGTGGTTTTATTTCACAGTATTTTTGCTTTCGGCACAGACAGAATAAATTGCATGTTGCTGGAATCCTGCCACATCACAACCACTTTAGGACAATGTTTTTAAAAAGCCCTTGCGCTAAAACAATGTAACTCAGTTAAAATCCCCATTCTAATACAATCATCGGAGAATCAGTGGTCATTTCGCTATGAAACAACGCAATGAAAACACGAGCTTGACCTTCACACAACTGAAGAAAAGCTTTTATAGCCTCCCAAAAGCCTCATTTATCTTGTTTTCTCTCTTCATTGCTTCCATTTCTGAATAAATGTTATTACAGCAGAACGCACATGTGTGTGTGTGTGTGTGTGTGTGTGTGTGTGTGTGTGTGTGTGTGTGTGTGTGTGTGTGTGTGTGTTGGATGCTTACCATCCTCAAGTTCATACTCTCGGTCAGTCCAGTCTTGGCCTGCTATCCTCCATTCAGCTTTGTACTTCAGAACAGGCACTCCTCCACTGGAAGCAGGCTCCTCAAACTCTATCATTGCTGTGCTGGAATACGGCTCCACACGCTCGATAGAGGGGGCCGAAGGCACATCTACAAAACACACACACACACACACTGAAATATAGACAGCAAACTGCTCTGTGCACACAAGCAGAGCGCCACAAATATGTGAGTGAGGCAATAGACAAACTGAAACAATGAAAAATTGTTATGGGCTTGGGGAATGGTTCACCGAGGGAACTGTTATTGCAGTGGCCAGTACAGTTTTTCCCTGAAGCACAAGTAAAATATCTTTCAGACAAACCAAGATATTGTTTAAAGTGGTCATATCAGGAGGAATCAAATTTTCCTTGAACTTCGGAAATAAGAGTTTGATGTGCTATGAAAACATATTGTAACTTTTAGAAACAAAAATCTATAGGAACTAAGCCATCAAAAAATGTCTTGTTTTGAACTTTTGTAACCTGCAGAGATAAGATACCAATACATAAAAATAAAATAAAAAAAAACCTTAAAATATACGCAGTTGTGTTTAAAGGTGTTGAATTTACACAAATTTTTAAATGGCCTTTTAACGTTTAGGTGTATGTGAAGAGGTTTGTCACATCTTGGCCAAAGCTTGTCATGCCATGTACAGTACTGACAAGGCTCCTTTAGAAGGATCTTATAGTTCACATGAACCGGAAGTGTCACAATCATCAGCGGTGTAGTGCATGCAGGTTGCTGGAGAGCTACAAATCTGCCACCAAAAGAACTACAAATCCCATCTTACCCATTCACACACACCAGTTGCAGTTCGCTGATAGTGCACACATAGATGGAAGTTGGGGGCTGAGTCTTTTTAACCTGTCAACATCACTTTGTTTATTGTTTATGCTGTTAGTCAACCGGACCGATCTATTTGCTAGTGACCAGACTAATCTTTTGGACTTCCCTATATGATACTGTTTGCTCCTGTGTTTGACCATTGCCTGTCTTTCTACTTTTATTAATACATATTGTATGTAGATCATTACAGGAAGCTGCAATCTTTTTTATATCCAAATTGTGACACAGTTCCTAGAGAAATAGAATATTATATGAGAAAACAGTGGGCGTGGCTTTTTTTTCTACTGTGATTGGATGTCCTTTCATTCAGAAATATTGAGAAGTTTGGGGAGAGTTATTACAACCTAATAGACACCTTATCCTCACCATTTCACAGTTGGAGGTGGGTGGTTAAGTATGATAACCAAGGAATTAACATTTCAAATAATACCTGGGAAGATGGGCTGAAGTGAATTGATAGTTCTATTAATGCAAGATTACAACTCATACAGTTTAAAGTGGTACATGGGCTACATTATACCAAAACTAAACTAAAACTAAACTAAACTCTCTTTGAGATCTGAGAGTTTTGGAGGTGTATTTTTCAGTTTTATTCAAATGTTTAGAAGGCAACCATTAGTCCAGATATTAAATCATTTTAAGAGTTGAAAGTAGGGCACTTAGGATTCATGGACAACTTTACTCTTAATTTTACACTTCATTTTCAATGTTATGAGTTGGACCAAATAAAACTTAAAGTGTATAATATTTACTCTATATGGTGCATGTTTGCATGGACTGGTGCTTGTGTTTTTTTAATTATTATTATTTTATTATTTGTTTTTTTTTATTAATTCACTTTTTATCTGCAACATTAGTCCAGATATTAAATGCATGCTGTTTGCATGCTATGACTCTGTATTTTTATGGTCACATAATCAGCAAATGTCTATTATGTTTGGTATGGTGGTGGCTAAAAGGATGATCCTGATGGATTGGAAGTCCACTTTACCATCTACTTTTTTTAAATGACTGACTGAAATGGTTGCTGCTCTTTAGCTTGAAATAAATCATTTTGCTAGGGAAGATGCTTCTAAAAAGTTTGAAAAATCTGGGGCCTCTTCCTTGCTTATCTTTTTAAGAGTTGAAAGTAGGGCACTTAGGATTCATGGACAACTTTACTCTTATTTTTACACTCCATTTTCAATGTTATGAGTTAAATAAATAAAACTTAAAGTGTAAAATATTTACTCTATATGGTGCATGTTTGCATGGACTGGTGCTTGTGTTTTTTTTTTATTATTATTATTTTATTGTTTTTTTGTATTTTTATTAATTAAACTTTTCTGTATTTGTCCTTATAATTTATATAAATGCTGATTTGTTAACCACACCACATACCTCAGACATGATCTGACAATTTAATTAAAAACAAACAAATCAAACAAATAAAGTTAGTGCATTTTCAGATTTCAATTTTAGATTACAAAGGCAAACTACTTTTATTTTCTTAATGACATGCCCAGATAAATGGTTCATCACAAAATTATCAATGTGAGCAAACAGAATTGTTAGTTTAGATTTTATGTGAACTTTAAAGTTAGTAACTTAAATCTGATTATTCTTTGTGATTTCTTTAAGATCTTAACAGTTAGACAGTAAAACATCAGTGTGGATTTATTCATAATACTGTCAGAATGCAATGCAGGTTTTACAAAGAAATGGTTCTTGAAGAGTGATCAATAAAATATGCAAAAAGCAAACCTGCAGCATGATTTTCTTTTCAATTATTGTTATTGTTCTGTGTTTCATACGGTAGAAGCCTGTTCTTTTTAAAGCTAAATGTAACTTTATGAAAAATAAGATGTAAAAATGTTTCTATTTAATGGGTCTATATTGGTACGTTTACAAATATTGGTACCTAAAAATGACAAAGTTTTAGCTTTAAAGGGACCGCCAAGTGGCAACTTTTCAATACCATTAATTCGGACAATGTTTAAAAGTAACATCCTTCCCTCACAGGAGCACATTTACTCAGTAAATCCAGCTTTTAAAGAAAAGTGACTTTATTGCACAATAAAATGTGCGGTTGTGGGGGTGTGGTGCCTGTGAGGTAGAATAGAGGCGTCATTCCTGCACTGCCTCAATGCATTGAGACTAAATAATCACCTCACTGCCTTCCACACCATTTCCCATCTGCCCCACTTTACAGAGCACCAAAAATATCAGAGGCAGAGTTGCATTTAACCATCGAATCTGCAGTCGGAAACTTATACCCTGCTGTTTTTATTACCCTAGAGTCTCAGCCTAAAAAATATGAGCGCAGGCTCTGATCTGAAGCTAAAACATCTCTGTCTGGGGGAGATTTACCTTTCGAGTACCTTGTGGATTATGAAATTGTACCAAGGGAGATTTTAGAAGACACCGTTCATGAGAAATGAATCATGAGCAGCTAATTAGAATCTAAGAAATGATATTTTGTGTTTGATATTGATTGGAACATGTATTACAGTTACTGATTTAGTTCTTTTTTTAACATTCACAAACCTGCTTGAACCAAAATGAATTCCTTTGACTCTGTGCCGATGACATTGGTAGCTGTGCAGTTGTAACTGCCAAAGTCGTTTTGGGAGTCTGGAGTGACCTGAAAGACAAAAAAAAATCACGTCAAAGCACCACCTCTCCGACTTTAATAGCATGACACAGAAATGAGCGTGAACTGTTTAAGGGAAGCCCATCGCCTTTGCAGTGGTAGTGACCTGCTACTCTGCCCTGCTGCCATTTTCCTCACTCGATAATTATTGAGTGAGAGAGATAGAGAGAGAGAGAAAGAGAGAGAGTCTCCATTAGCTCCAGTAGCTTAGTAAACTGTGCCATGGAAACAGGAACAGTGACAGAAAACATTTCTGGCTTTACAAAATGATACAAAACAAACAAACAAACAGTCAAAAAAAACAGATGTGTTGATGTACTTCGTTTCTTAAAGGGATAGTTCAACAAAAACTAAATTCTATAAATAACTCAACCTATACTTGTTTCAAACCTTTATGAGTTTATTTTTAATCTGTTGAACAAAAAATAACATAGACCATAACCATTGATTTGCATAGTATTTAATTACAGATTTCCATAGTCTAGGATTACAGGTTTTTGCTTTCTTCAAAATATCTTCCTGTATGTTCAATAGATTAAAGAAACTCATAAATGTTTGGAAAATAGTGAGTACGTTTTCTTTTTTTTAGTGATATATCCATTTAAATCCCCTCAAGGAATATCATGTGATGGAGCTCCACCCACAAGTCATTATTATATATATTTGAATAAATATTTACTTAATATAAATATAAAATATATATATTTAAGTATTTGAACACGACAAGGCAAGATTTTTGGTGTTTTGATCTATTATTAAATGTTTAGAAAATATTGTAAAAACAACTAAAATCAAGTTTTTCTGCAAAACTGTGCTACTTGTATGTTGCTGTGGGTTGATTTTTTCTCCCAGTAATGTACATGTTTAACATGTATGAATTGCAGTCAACTAAAATGCATGCACTGAAATATTTTACATGCATAATAATGAGAGTTTTGAGATGGAGGGGGCTTTATTCTTCTTTATAAAAACTGCTGATGAATTTCAAATTATGTATAACACATTACAGTCAGAAGATTGGTTTATGCCAGTGTATAATTTTTGGATCAGGTCACTGGGCTTGTTTTGGACTATTGGCTTTTGGGCTGGATTTGTTACACACAGTATAAACGCGTCAATTAATAAAATGTTTGAAGATCAAACATAGTCCTAATTGAACTAATTATTTGGGCTTGGATCAACTAAGATATTGAATAAACAGTGTGCAATTGAATTTTTCTTAAATCTGGTTCTGGAATCTGTTTGGCTGATAGCTGTTCAATATTCTTGAAATAACAGCAATTGTACCACCTCTTCACCCTTGTGTATTTCTCCGTCCACATACAGCTACAAGCAGAGGACACTACAGTTTGACAAATATTTCAGCTGTTGGATAACATAATGTACTTTTGAGGCTTTTTTTAGTCAAGAATGTAATTGTGTAGATTGCAACTATGCAGTTTATTTATAAGGATGGTGCCTATTTTAAAATCTTTATAATTTCGGAGCATCAGATTATGTGCATCGGCCGCTATTAGCCTGCCTGAGCAGACCAAAGAAAGTGACGGCTGATGTTCCGCCACAAGATGAAACAGAGGCCACAAAATGCATCCTCGGGGGAGAAAAACAGCGTTTTCTCAGCATAAGTTTCAAACTACAGCTGAATAAATCCTTATAAATTAGGTAAGTGACATTCTAAGTCGATCTCTGTCTTTTGTATTTTGCTGTGCTTTGACTTTTTCGAGGTTAATTATTGTGATATCCTGATTGCAACAGAGAAATACTGGGACATATCTCTAGACTGATGGAATTTCATGTCGTTCAGCCTTATAATCTTAAAATATCAGCAAAACACATGTAGCAACCGTTTCTGCTGTTCTGACATCAGCTGCAGATGTGAATGAATGGCAGAAGAAAGCAGTTTTCATACAAAAGGATTTTGAGACTCACCGTCTTTGATTTTCGTTTTTGTATACACAATTAGGCTGTCAAACTGTTGCAAAAATGCAATATCACATAAGTAGCATGCCTCTCACCGGTGCCGATATACAGCCACATGGCACTGCTACTCATTTGATAATGCTTGTATAAATAAATTTAAGCGTTAAGCATTTTCAAATTCAGACTGGACAAATAAACACAAATCCAAACTATATTATAATCATTTTAAGCTCAGGTCAAAGTTGGGAGATTGAGACATAAAATAAATATGTTCTATGCAGTTCTATAGTTATTATAATAATAATTTGTTGAAGCTGCTTGAATTGTTTTACATTCAAGGCCTGGCAACCCAAGATTATAAGATTAGATGTGCTTGCCATTCAATATGTACACTTTGAGATACACAGTTCTTGTGATTGTGATTCCTATGCAAACAGCATACTTTGTGCTTATATTTTATTCTACTGAAGCCTCATAATGCTGTGATCTGACCTTAAAAAGTCTTTACAGACTGCCTTCAAATGAATATAAACTTCACAAATCTATTATTTAGACACAACACATTAAACAATCCAATCTGTGCTTTACAACTTTCCCCCATAAAACAAACAAACACTGCACTACACAGACATTCATAATCCAATGTTACACAAGAAACGTAATAATTGTAATTAACGTTATCGGCTAAGCAATGCTTAAAAAACTAAATCATAAAGTCAAGCGGCCAAAGAACCGAAATGACACGAATTGCTCTGCCACTCAATAAAAACAATTTATTCCCAGCGCTTGTAGACTGATAAGGGTGGGCAGATGTGTTTACTAGCTCTATTTTGTACATAAATGAAGAACAGAGGTTATATTCAAAAATAAACGCCAATTACTGTGCTTCCCAATGCAATATCACCAAACACTGCTGCTATGATTTAATATCAAATGCTGAAGTATACAGGAAAATGAGCTCAGAAACCAATTATTAGCGTCAAACAAGTCTTTAGCGTTGAAGCTTTAATAAGAGGGCAACTAAAGACTCAAGCGCTGATGCCATACCTCCAGGAAGCTGACTGTGGGGGTGTTGTAGATCTTGACGTTGGTGGTATTAGCGCTCGGCAGCTGCTGGCCATCCCGGAACCACAAAACGGAGGCACCCGGGTGAGCGAGGGCCTCGCAGGTGATATTAGCTGGATTACCCTCCCAGGTGAACACCGCCTGAGGGCCCTGGATCTTTGGAGCATCTGTAATTATACACAGTGTCAGCAAAGTGCACCCAACACAAGGACTGTTATGGAGGAAGACCTGAGGGCAAAAAAAATGATGGCTTCCAGCTGGCATCCTTTTACCATCATGCCCTCAGCTACCTCGCAATTTCTGATATCGGCACTGTAAAACCTGATGAATTCAGATTACTCAAAAAAAGAAAAGCACCTAATAAGATTTGAGTAACATCACATTTTTAAAAGTTTAATTAGTAAAACTTCATTTTATTTTATGCTACTTTAAGGATGTACTTTGTTTGTAGGGTGGTGATTTGTTTGCATTAACTAGTGACAGCAGCTTTATAAACATTGCTTCGAAAATGCTTTAAAAGCTTTAAGATTTTTTTTGTGTCGAATGAAATGTTTCAAAACATGTAGCAAATTGGCAATATCACGTGATTTTAGTAAACAGAGCTTAGAAACTTTTTGCTGCACATCTTGTATGTTCACACTAAAGACAATTGCCTTTAGATGAACCCAAAGATAAAAGCCTAAGGGGTCCGATTGGAAGACCTTGGGGGCCATTCAACTGGACCACGATGACCAATCCACTCTTCAGGAAACTGTTCATTTAGGAATGCTCAGACCTGACACCCATAATATGGGGGTGCACCATCTTGCTGGAAAAACTCAGGGAACATGTCAGCTTCAGTGCATAAAGAGGGAAACAAACCATCATGTAGCAATTTCAAATATCCAGTGGCCTTGATGTTTCCATTGATGAAGACTAGCCCCACTATCTTTGTTGTCTATAGTGTAAAGATACAAGATGTGCAACACCTGAAACTATGGATACTGGAAGCCTGTGCTGGCATTTCTCCTGCGGTTTTGCTATTAGTGTGTGAAGAGTGGGAGAAGAGGGTTGCATTGACAATCCAACACAATGGGCAGCACATTGAACACATTTTATAAGTGGTCAGAAACTTTTAAATAACCTATGAAAGAAACAAGTTACGTAAAACCAAGTACACTATTGTTTTTCTAATGAAATTCCCAATAGGTTTGATGTGTCAAATGACCCTCTTCCTATTGAAAAAACAAAAGTTGGATCCAAGACGGCCGACTTTAAAATGGCCACCATGGTCACCACCCATCTTAAAAAGTTTGGCACCTCACATATATTAATGTGCCGCAAACAGGACAGCAATATCACCAACCATTCTCATTTTATTAAGGTGTATCCATATAAATGGCCCACCCTGTACAACACAGTCTGATGCAGAGAATGCTGGAAATGAGACATCTGCTTCTATTTTGTTCTATTTTTGTTTGTTAAATTAGCCTTCATCCAGTTCAATTTTTGAGTTTAGATTTTTTTTAGTAAAATGAACTATTTACATATTTGAGTGGAATGATCTCATTAGTTAAAAATGAATCATTAATTAATTGCACTGTTCAGTTTTAACTGTAGCATGAAGTCTATTGTCTGATGTTCACCTTGGCTTACTAGACTTTCTAATCCAGAATTGATACGTGCGGTTGAGTCATCACATTTCCCATAAAGCTGTTGTGATAAGGCACATATCCACTCCAATCTTATCTCTATCTCTGCAGGACCACAGCCTGCAACACCGCTGCTTAGATAATCTGCTCGTCCCAAAACATAATGTCTGCCTTTGGATGAAACAGGCAACGAAATCTTATCACAACTTTGGCTGAAATGAAAATTGGGAAATGGGAGACTCAAAATGATTTCAGGAGGAACGTGTTCACAGTGTGTCAGTGTAAGTAAACTTTGCATAAATATGCTTACTGATCCAAAATGGCTGTCAGCCTGAGACTTCATTTTTACTGTGAAGCTAAGCTGTATTTCACGTAATCTCCTTTTGAAAGAGAAATTCTGCTTGTTCTTCAAATCTTAAAAGTACACTTTTAAAAAAATGTATTCGCAGATAATATAATATTTCTGACATTAAAAGCCACTTAAATGTATTGAAAAAGTGTACACCTTGATGAAGCTATAGATGTAGGATGCATGGTTAGCACATACACCATTGAAACGTCTCCTCTTGGCTTATATTAATATCCTCTCATATTTTTTTTCTAAATCCTTGTTTTGTATATTTCTAACTAATGCTTTGTAAACATCCTACTTCATCTGCCACTGAGGTTTCACACTCCTGTCCAACTGGTGGCAGTAAATGCAGTACAGTGGTCCCTCGATATTCATGTTATTCTAAAAATAACCCACAATAGATGAAATCCGAGAAGTAGTCAGCTTTATTTTTTACAATTATGATAGATGTAATGTAATGCACCAAATATTAATTTAGACCGTAATGGCACCCTACAGCTGTGTAATTTCTCCTTTGCTTTAGCATGTCAGAAGCATGTCAAACTTTTTTTTTTGCAAAGGTTAGGACCATCCTTTGCTTTTTGTGAGCTACCACAGATGCCTTTGGCGGTGCAGAATGTTTTGTTTATATATATCAGTTTGACTTTCCACAATGTATTTCTTATTCTTATTATTTCTTTTTAAATCTTTTAAACTGTTCAATTGTAACATTTTCACATTCCCCAAAATAATATGCAGAGGCTATTATAAATATAGCATTGTAGATTTTAGAAAGTTGCTTAGAAACTTGGGGAGAAAACTTGCAAAAATACAGTACAGCACTTCAGAGTCACACCGCTAGCAATCAAAGATTTCTGTAAATTTGGAAAGCTGGATGCATTATGTACTGCTAAATGCGCTATCTAATCTAGACGCAGAACACAATGCGCTGTAAAAAAAAAAAAAGCATGTCAAATCGCACAAAAAAAAATCCACAAAACTGCAAGGCCGTGAAAGGTGAACTGCATTAAAGCGTAAGACCACTGTATATATATCTATGGCAGTAAAATATATTTTATATTGTTTATATATTTATATTTACTAAAATGCATCAATTTGCCACAGGAGACCTTTATTCACTATACTGGATTCAACTGAATGAAGAATTCATATACACCTATGTCATATAATCCTTTTTTGGTGAATTAACCCTTAAATCATATTTTTTTTTTTTGTAAAGCTTGACATACTCCAAGTCAGAGATGCCCAAACTAAGTTGGCCCATGGTAAACTTTAATTTGGCCCACCAACCCATCTGAGAGGGAGAAGGATGGGGATGGTTTAGATAATGTAATTTTAAATTTAATGTTACCTTTTATTTGTTTTATTGTTAAGCTACAAAAAATTAAAAATTCTAATTTAAAACTCAAATTAAATGTTTCAATTTAAATGCTGTAATTTAGTTCAAAATGTACATACTGTCACTCAATGGATCGAGGACAATGAAGAGACTTTGGTTAGCAAATAAAGGCAAAGGCAGATTCTGCTAGACCCGTATATTCAGGATTTAACTCCACTGTGTTATAAATGTTTATGTTTTTTTGATGTTTCAAGTGATGAAATAAATTAGAAAATTACCCATGGCAACTTTAATGTAAAATGGTTTGGTACATTTATATCATGCCCACTGCTCTCATAAAAATTGGGAAAAAATTGCTTGAAGGGGCTAATAATTTTGACCTTAAAATGGTTTTCATAAAAATTATAAACTGTTTTTACTCTAGCCTAAATAAAACAAATAAGAATTTCTCTAGAACAAAAAATATTATCAGACATACTGTGAAAATATCCTTGCTCTGTTTAACATCATTTGGGAAATATTTAAAAAAGAAAAAAAGATTCGAAGGGGGGCTAATGATTCGGACTTCAACTGTACATTGTCCATAGATGTGCTATAGTATGTTGTAAATCTTTGCTGTCTAAAATAAAATACATTTGTTAATTTATTTAAAATTTGCTTAGCCTGTAACACATTATTTATTGTCTCTACTTAATGCATTCTTAATGTAAACTTACATATATAACTTTGAAATGTAATTGTTCTAATACAGAAACTTCACACTAATAGCAATGTAAAGCTATTTAAAATTGACTATGTCTTATTTGCTTATCAACAAGAATGTCAGAAAAAACATTAAACACAATAAATAACTAGCATAATAATGATTATAAAAAATGGCTTTTAATGTTTATTACTGCCATGCCCTTTAAAATGAATAATTTTGAATTGTTTTGTATTTGATTCTACTATGTTTACATAGTGTTGTAAAGATGAAATATTTTAAAACTGCCTAATTAATTTGCATTTAAATTAAGTACAAATACATTTAATTTAACCAGACTACACTATCTACTGAAAACACATTAGCCTGTTTAAGATACACTTCAGTAGATTGATGGATTACCCTTGAAAGGACAGAAAAGACTTTATAATATAACCGTGTAAATTAAATCAGCATTAAAGTACACTAAATGCCTGTAAACATACTTTGAAGTGCACTCTAATCATATTATAAGGCAGTGCAGTAGTACAAGTAAACATAAGTGGATCAAAAATGACTCTTAGGTTCATCTAATTGCATTTAATCTATATTTAAACTCTAAAACATTCAAAAATCAATGCCAATTAACATGCATTTAGGTGTTTAAAATCATTACATTTAATTCACAGTTAAGTATACTTTTTTGGGTTAATATTCGAATCAACTTATTTTGTTTTCAATGTGTAAGCTATCAATTTTAAATATGTAATAATTAAATGACCTTTACGTAATAAATCAGTCATGCTTTTCCTATGCAAGCAGAGAGAGTGAGAGCAAAAGTGTCTTACGATGGGAGTGAACAATCTCATCTAGGATCATTTGAAGCAGACAAAGCACCTTTTCTTATCACTAATTACTGCGAAACGCTGCGTGCACTCAACCAAGAAGCTGATTACTCACAAGCCAAGCTGTAGCAAACTGCATTTCCACACAATTTCTATCAATTGCACATTGTGATGCTATCTCAGGAATGGGAGAAGACTTTTTGGGGCAAGAAAAATTAATCCAATTAGACTTTCATTACACTTCAAGCTTCACTCCCTCCTACTTCTCTGAATTAGATTGTGGGAAATGTGCAAGCAGATGAAAATAACTTTAAAGCCAGCTTTACTGTAATTCTCTACCTGGCAAACGGCACAAAGAAACATGCACTCAGCCAACTGCAGTAAACATAATCTGATCAAATAAAAGCGTTTGTTCTCAAAATTGAGTTTTAAGAACGCGAAGATGCCAGTGTTTCATTTCATACGAAGAGCTCTGACTGTAGGAAATCATCCTGAAAGCTGTAAAATGTATATGGCTCTGTGATTTGAACTGTGGTTTTTGCTGGAAAGAGAGTTTATTTGTTTGAAACTGACATATAAAAAGGCCATAAACCATCTATCCCTTCCAAAAAAATGTCTAGTAAATACATAAATCAGTTTCTTGAAGAAATTAAGGAGAAAATCACTGATTGTTGGATGCAAAAAAAAGTTAGTAAATCAAATCTGTCAAAACTGACCATAGATGTCTGCTTTTAAAAAATGAGGCAAGACACTGCAGGCAAAAACAATGTTTTTCATGCACCTTTGAGATTCTGTGGTTTTCTCAAATCGATTGCTATTTCTCCACTTCAGCAGCACTTAAACTAAAAGTCATAGTTTTACTCATATCTGTATTCTAAAGGCTTTAACAGAAGTTTGTTCATGCATAATTTTCATAAATTTATGCAATATTTTATTACACTAAAAATGTGTAATTTACTTTTTTCACAGTATTTTAAGAAACAATAATAAAAAATTTGACTCAACATAAAAAATAACCCGAATTAATCCAGTATTTCAATTTGTACTAGTAATGTATGCAATATAGTGCATATTTAATAAAATTACACACTGTAAAACCCAACAGTCAACTTTATTGAATGAAATGAGTGTAGTTAACTAAAAAATTACTGAAAGTTAATTCTACTCATTTGAAAAAAGTTTTGAACTCAGCGTTGAATGTAATGAGTTAATTAAATACCTCATTACTTCAACTTAAATGGAGTAAGTTCACAGTACTCATTAGGATTAGTTTTTGAACTTAAATGGTTTGTTGCAATCGGTTTCCTCAAATGGTTTGAGTTACCTTAACTTTTTGTTTTTTACAGTGCACCATAGTTGCATATTTAAATTCATAATAAAACTAAAATACAAGAAATGTCCACAATTCTTAATTAAATCAGTTAACTGGGAAAGTATGCTGATGACTATTATTTTTTTTTTATAATTTGGTTTTATCTTCTTAACCTGCATAATAATTTGGTTACATCATATTTTAGACATTATGTTGAGTGTTCACTGACAAAGTTCCGGAATTTGTCCTATATTCTACTGTACATGAGCTCATTTGTCCTATTCTGAGTCCAACATCCAGCTGTGCAAGAAAACATCGGACATAAGCAAAGTCATCTTTCCCTACTGTATTGTTTTTAAATACAGAAAAAAATTGACAAATATTTGAAAATATTTGAAATATTTAACAAATATTTGACAAGTAATTCTAAATCTTGGACCATATTTTTGAAAGAAAACATGACCAATAAAAAGTGTGAAGTACCAAAAGCGACCTGTAATAAAAACAGTTTGAATACTACTTTGGTTATTGTTGTTATCCATGAGTTTTCAAATGTACTTTTTTATTTATTTATTTTTTTTTACAAAATTTGCTAGAAATATTGTGTTGTTCTAAATCATTATTATTATTATTATATTATTATTATTATTATTATTATTATTATTGTGTTTTATTACTCAAATGGGCTGTGTAAGGAAAGTTAATTGTGCTGGCCAGTTTGTTATTTGTTTATAAATTACAATAGGCTACAGTTTTTAATTTTAAAACTTTTCTAATGATACAGTATATACAGCAATAATTTTGTATTTTAAAAAAATAAATATTTGTCATATTTAATTATTCTAAATATTTAGGAAACTTTGTTGGGTATAATTACCATCCGACAATCTAATTCATATAAAATATTGCTTAAAATGTCACCTAAATTCAGTATTTTAAATAGAAAATAGGTGCATAACTGAAAAAAAGTCAACCTTTTGAAAAAGAAAAAAGAACCATCCCCTTCACCAGGCTGTCTATGGGCCTGACATGTACATGCAAATGTCTAAAAGCTTGCAAAATCAATTAGAAGACTATCAAAACAGCATTAGTAGCTATTATTAAGCAGACAGTCTACTTATGTATATTTTAATGAACTACTAATTTATTAATCTGCAGTTACAAACTAACTCATAGTCAACAAAATGTCTAAAAGGCAACACCAAAATAAAGTCGTAATGAAGTAAGTAATGAAAGTGTTTTCAGTTAGTAGAGACCAAGAAAGTCTCGGAAGAAATACTGAGAAACACTTCATTGAGTTTTGGCACATTTGCCCTGAACACAACAACATGAATAACCTAGAGAGGACAAAGAGACAAGTTGAATGTTTAGCTTACAGCGCACTTCCAGGTACATGCTCTGGATGTCCTGACCGATGGAGTTGCGTGCGGTGCAAAGGTACTGGCCGGCGTCCGTGAACTGAACGTACTTCAGAGTCAGAGAGGACACGCGGGCATCACTGCGCACAACCACGTTACCATCCAGACTCTGGAAAAGAAGAAAGATGAAAGAAGAGTGAGATTCTGATATGGGGAGTTCGAGTAAGTTATTTGACGTTCAGCCGAAATGGTAGTGCTTAAAACAGACATTTTTATCGTTATAATTTATCTTTTTTTTAATATACAAAATACAACCAGGGTTCCCACACTTTCATGAACAGCAGATTGAAGGACTTTTTAAAGCACCTATAATTTTAAATCAAGCACTTTTGAAATACATACTACAGGATTATGTATGTAGCACTATGTCTTTACTGCACCTAACATTTCACTTACACTTAATATTTACATAAAAAAAAAATGTCAGAGTGATTTTCAAATGTTTTGATCATAAAAAAATCACGTTTAAAGATCTTTAGTCAAATTTGTTGAATTCAATAATGGCAATATTCAAATATGGTTTCAGAAATATTGATAAAGTGCAAATTAGTTTTCAGTGTTTTCATTGTAAAAGATTTACATTTAAGATTTTTAATTTAGGAATTGATCAGTTTGTTCTATATTTGACAACTGATCACAATTGTTTACATAAAACCATAAAAAAAATTGTTTTCATTGATTTTAAGCACATTCAAGGACCTACGCTATGTTTGTTTTTAAGTACTTTCCAGACCTTGAATGCAAAACAAAACGACACAAAAGCTCCACAATAGTCTTATTAGCCCCCCTTTAATTTTTTTTTTCTCTTTTAAATATTTCCGAAATGATGGTTATCAGCGCAAGGAAATTATCACAGTATGTCTGATAATACTTTTTTCTTCTGGAGAAAGTCTTATTTTTTTAATTTTGGCTAGAATAAAAGTTTTACAACATTTTAAGGTCAAAATTATAAGCCCCTTTAAGCTTTTTTTTTTTTATAGTCTAAAGAACAAACCATCGTTATACAATAACATGCCTAATTACCCTTACCTGCCAAGTTAACCAAGTTAAGCCTTTAAATGTCACTTTAAGTTGTATACAGGAGTCTTGAAAGTATCAAGTAAAATATTATGTATTGTCATCATGGCAAAGATAAAATAAATCAGTTTTAAGAAATGAGTTATTAAAACTATTATGTTTAGAAATGTTTTGAAAAAATTATTCTCTTCGTTAAACAGTAATTGGGGGGAAAAATTAACAGAGGGGCTAATAATTCAGGGGGGTAATAATGCAGATTTCAGCTGTATGTACATTTGAAATACTAAATATTTTGGCCATCACCAAAAAAGAAAAAAAAAGAAGAAAAAGTTTGCATATAAATCATATTTGATCATTTAATTTTTAGGATGCCTGTGAACTTATTTTTAATCAGTTCTCTCACATTATGTTTCATTCCAGTGAATCAGCTGCTTAACAGTATTTTTGTGTACGTAAGCTTTAAGGTTTAACAACCTTATTAATCCCACCAGGGAAACCTTAATTTGGCAATTAAGCAACAAAGACATACAGATACAAATCACTTACAAACAATATAAAAAAATAAAAACACAATCCAGCAGCAATATTAGAATAGATATATTTAGATTCTATTTGATGCTTCTGAAACTTTTTCCAGAAGGGCAACAGTACAAAAACGACTTGAAAGGATGAGAGTCATCTCCTATCACACTTTGAATTTCTTATCATTTTTATTTTTCCTTTCCTTACACATTTGAATTGCTTTATGGGAATTTTTGATATTTAAAAGATTAACAAAGTGTCATTTATTGGCATTTTAAATCATTTTAGTATTTTGTATATTGTATGCATTGGTCTTGTAAATTACAGTACAAAAACAGTAAAGAGCTGAGTGCAATTCAAGAGTGGACATTTACAGAGACCACTCATAAACCACAAACCATGGACAACAGTTAATAAACAGATTAGTTTTTTTTTTTTTAACAATGCAATCTATTTTCATCACATAGTCTTTAAATGAATCTGACATTGCATTGTGACATTTAGTCCTGTAAACGCTTCATGTGCAAAAATGACGAAGTTTCCCCCGCATAAAAAATATTAAGTAAAGTAAACCAAAAATGCATTGAACCTAATCTTAATCCTTCATTTACTGATTCATTATAAACATCTCAAAAAGAACGACTGAACATCTAGTCATTCATACTGGTTTAAAAACAAGACAGCAAGTAAATAAAGACTTTCTTCAGCTCATAACTGAAAAACTATCCAGTTTCACTTTTTTTCTTTTACATCATTCTAGCACACAAGGTCAGAGGGAAGACGGACAGCATTTCTTCGTATTTGTGCCTCAGTCTGGGGCTCATGGGGGTATTTTGGGAGACAGTGAAGCAGGGATCAATAATGAAGTGGACCACACAGCAGGGGCCACTTTAAAGCCTTTTCTCCTAAAGCCTGTTTGAACAGCACAGCCGGGACAATCTGCTAACAGTTTTACTCCCCGTCTTCATCCCGCACACCGGCATTTCTCCTTAACTCGCACTGCTTTCGCTCGGATGCCCATCTCGGGTTACTATAGAGAGCTGAGATCCTGCGGTTGAAGTGCCTTTGAATTCACCAATCAATGCCTTTTCCAGCTGTTACAATGAAAAAACTGGCATGCGCTTCACCACTGCTCTATGTTGTTTGCATTTCAAAGGCTTTCCTGCTAGTTTCAGTAGTTTTCAAAGGACTCTTGAGATTAGCTTCCGAAATAGGCAAATTCACATCATTAACCCAGTGATTACACATGTCTGTCTCATACGAAATACTTCACATAGTGTGATGTGACATGAAAAACCGCAAACAGCTTTCTTTTGATACTTAAACACGCAGCTTTTCATGACCTCATGCTAATTGAGAAACCATATTTGTACTTTTTAAAAGTTCATTTGACACTCCACACGAATGTAAATTAAGAAAATGAGGTGAGTATTTCCATCTAGACGTACTTGCTTGCAGTTTGTTGCAGCTATGGCCTTAAGATGCCACACATTCGTTTATCTTTTCTTTTATGCTCATGTTACAATTTTTATTTCCCTAAAGCATCACATTTTTCTTTATTTTTGACAGCTGCGTCATTGTAAATGCTTAGCTAGGTACAGACACAACCCACCGAATGAAATGTAGCCCTGCCCCAAAACAAACAATAAAACATTCATTCATTCATTTTCTTGTTGGCTTAGTCCCTTTCTTAATCCGGGGTTGCCACAGCGGAATGAACCGCCAACTTGTCCAGCAAGTTTTTACGCAGTGGATGCCCTTCCAGCCGCAACCCATCTCTGGGAAACATCCACACACACATTCACACACACTCTCATACACTACGGACAATTTAGCCAACCCAATTCACCTGTACCACATGTCTTTGGACTGTGGGGAAAACCAGAGCACCTGGAGGAAACCCACGCGAAGGCAGGGAGAACATGCAAACTCCACACAAAAACGCCAACTGAGCCGAGGTTCAAACCAGCGACCCAGCGACCTTCTTGCTGTGAGGCGAACTTGCTACCCACTGCGCCACTGCCTCGCCAACAATATAAACATAAATACTCAATCTCTATATTTTTTGTAAAGCTCTGCACTTATCAAAGCTGGATTTATTTGATAAAACAAAATAAAAATAAAATGTATATGGTGAAATAATATTAAAATTCGAAATAATAATAATAATTCTAATAATTCTAATAATAATAATTATAATAGTAATACAAATTACTAACAATAAACCCATTATTAGGTTTGATAATGTAATATTTACTCAGAAAGTATCTTTGCATCTAAAAATGCGGCCCATACGAAGTAATACTGTTTACCTTATTCTTCACATGTAAGCGGTCACAACCAATTAGAAGCTTGTTGGCTCAAGTTTAAATTTAACAACTTTATTAATTCCACCAGGGGCAATTAGATTAGGATTAGTAACATTTAATGATCCAAAAAAAAAAAAAAAACATAAAGAGACAAATCACTTACAAATAGTAATAAAAACACAATCCAGCATGCTTCATAATAACTTTATAAAAAGGAAATAGGATAAATAGGAAAGACTTGGAAACTAGGAAAAGGTTGTGATAATTTGTTGTAGTATTTCTATTGTTGTTATAGTAATACAACAGACATAGTAATATAAACAAATGACACAAAACTGTAGCTATTTACAATTATAGGTTAAGTTATCCGACAATACACAACACTTTACTTTAGTAAAACTACAGTATTGCACAGTATTTATTACAGTTTATCAGTTCACTGTAGAATTTACTAACAGAGTCAAACATTCTACAGAATAATACATTTTACTATTGACCTTGTTTTAAAATGCAGAAGTACGCTTGTTTTTGTAATTGTTTTACAAATTCTGATTTAGTTGCCTATGGGAGAAATGACTAGGAATATTAAATGGTAGAAAATGGTCAAACTACTTGCTCTACAAACAAATGTGTCTATGAATATACAAACCAAGCAGAATAATATAATAAGAAAATATCAGTTTGCAAAATCAAGCAGCAGAACGAGCTGTTTTTAACGTCTAAAAATCAATTGGAAGTAATTGAGACCGAAAGTCTCAAGCCAAAAACATTCAAATGGCTGCGCCTGCTCATACGCAAAGAATAAGATCATAAACACTATAATATTAGCTAAAAATTACTATAGTGTTTTATTCATGTGGGGAAGCCAAGTTAGCAAGAATGGTTTTAAAAAAAGTGCCTCAGTGTTGCCATGTTGCCGTCAAATAAAAGAATTCTCATACCAACTTGCTACTTTAAAGATAAGCTTGCAATGCTTGCCCTGCCTCTGAATTCTTCTGATTGGTCTACTGTTTTGGAGCTGACATTGAGTACGTTTACATGGACATCAGTAATCGTATGATTTGCCTTAATCTGAATAAGACATTAAGGTGTTTACATGAGTTGCTTTTTGAATGTTCCTTTCATTATCCTATTTTAAATGTTTTAGCACATAATTCGATTTACCTCATTGTGTCACCAAGCTATCCACATTTCCCCAAGATTTGTATGTAATTTTGGGTGTTTCATTTTTAATTTGTCAACTTTAACTGCAGTTTTGGAC